CAGCAATCTTTAAGGCAGAAAAAAAAAAAGCAAAAAAACATAAAAACGGGGCTGGGTGTGGTCAAAAACCAAGGCTGTTGGTAGTGGCATACACCTTTAATCCCAGAACTTTGTATGTTGAGGCAGGTGAATCTTTGTGAGTTCAAAGCCAGGATTATGTAGAGAGATTCTGTCTCCCCCCATCAAAAAAAAAAAAAAAAAAAGAAGAGAGAAAAAACAAAAAATAAAATGAAAAACAAAAACCAATCATTTTGTCTTAGTCCTTCCCCATAATTTTTTCCCTGCTAATTTTTTCTTCCTTGAACTCCTGCCACACAATTTATTTTAAACACCTAAAGTATGGCCGGATTAAATTTCAGGGCAGACTGCGTTTTCTCCACAAACTGGCATTTCCCTTTAGCTCTTTTAGCTCCCGAGCTCATCTCATACCAATATGCGGTCTTTCTTAAACACTTGCAACTTTTAAAAGTCATTCTGGTGCTGTCTACATGAAGGAGATGAAGAACGCGCTGATCTGCTCGTGTGACCATAACACAGACTAAGCTTGGGTGTCTTAAAACAAACTTTTATGTTCTCAGAGTTCTGGCTGCTAAAAAGTCCAAGATGGAAGTGCTGGCTCGTTTAGTTCCTGGTGAGGCCTTTGTCCCTGTCTTGCAGACAGCTACCTCCTCACTGCCCCCTGTTAAGAGGGAAATCAAGGGTCCCTTTTGGGATTCTTAATTTTGTTATAAAAGAATTAAGAATGGGCTTAAAACTAAGTCCCAAGATAGTTTTACTAGCGCTGAAAAGAAAAATCTCAGCGCCTTGAGCTGCCAGAAAAGAGAACGGAAGGAGAGGGAGGAAAGAGCCTTGCTGCTGAGTTAAACCTGCCTGGAGGTCAGCCACACTGCAGACAAGCAGCCATGGCAGGGAGGCGGGCTTCACAGAAGAGAAGGGAAAGGTATGCTTCTGAGTGACTCGGAAAAGCAAGCAGACTTAATGAAGCCAGCTGACTACAATTCAGTGAACAACTGCTCAAAGGGGAGGAGTTCTGGGAAGGAGAAGTACAGCAGCTCACTTGAGCAGTGGTTCTCCAATAGGTCTCGATCCCTTGGGGTCGCATGTCGGTTATTGACATGACAGTTCATACCAGTAGCAAAACTACAGGGGTCAGCACAACATGAGGAACTGTATTAAATAGTGACAGTTAAATATTTTCTGGAATAAGGCTTGTGGGGCTATGTGTAAGGTCTGGTGGGTGTCTGAAATGATCGACAACACTTGGACTTGAGGAAGTATGAGATGGCTGTTTAAGTAGAACCATCTGTAATGGTCTGTCCTGTCCCTTTAAGAGAAAGCCGTTCCTGAATCCCTCTCCTCCCCTCCTCATCCACTGTCAAGGAAGGCAGATCTTTCTTCTGCTTCTGGCCTGAGTTCGCTCCCCTTCCATCTCTCCCTCCAAGAGGCAGCTTCTGCCTCTCTCCCTTCTCCCTCCTTCTCCTCTTCCCTTCCATAACCCACTAAATAAATATCCAACCTCATTCTGCATGGCGTGTCTCTCATTCATCAAATGGCTCCCTGCCTGGGACCCGGCTGCCTTCATGGCCCTCCGTGTTCTCCTGGCCCGCTGCCCACTGCTGCCACTCTGGGACCAGCAGCGTTTCTGCAGCTGTGCCCCTCAGGGAACTGCAGCATTTTATTTAAACCATAACACCATCCATTCTTTATGTTAGCCCTAATTTAAAAGAATTTTTGTAAAAGGCAGCCCAAGGGCATTTGGAGATCAGGCTTTGAATCGCAACAGCCCATTTTTTACTAGATGCCAAATCTTGGGACTCAAGCCTGTCACAATGTATCCACCATGACAAGACTCTTGAGTCAAAAACAGAGGGTTGTGAGAAATGAGTGGACAGAGTCTCTATCCACTCAATTCCACCCCAGCGAGAATTGTCTTGGGGCTTGTGTTGGGCGCCTGACACTGACCGTGTCTCCAACGGGACAGCCTGAAAAATCGTAGGGAGTCCCAGACCCTAATAGCATGTACTAAAAAAGGGGAACTCACTGAGACAAAGCCGATCTTAGCCTGGCAGACAGCATGAGCCAGAAGGGAGTTTTCAAACGTGTGGCCCAGGGCCAGTGGGGGTGGGAGAGTACAACCTACTCCAAATGTTAATTATTTTTCCTAAACCACCAGCCTCTCTGCCGACACAAATAATCCCAATCAGACCAAATCAGACCGAATTAGAAGATGCTCATGTTTAATGACTGCCAGCACTCCCAGGTGGCCTGTATGGGGAACACGGACAGGGGAAGAAGGAAACCCGGAGACCACGTGTTTATTCTCTGTGGGACAGTTTAAATAGCCTGTGGGAGTGGTCTTGACTGGAGGGGTCACCATTGAAGGTGGAGTTTGGACTGAGGCAACTCCCAGGGGAGGTGGCTTAAAATGGAGTTTTTCCACTCAACATTCCAAAATGGATGCCAGGGTTTTGGGGTGAAGCTCCCAACCAAACAATCCAGACTCTTTGGATAAAGGGGTGCCAGTTGCAGCATTAGGAAGGTTGAGAACCACTGTTCCAAAGGGATAAATATTCCTCCCATTTATTCTGCTTGGCCTAGATGATCTGCCTTATGCCTTACACACACACACAAACACACACACACATGCACACACACACACACGTGCACACACACGTGCACACACATGCACACGTGCACGCACACACATGCGTTCTCTCTCTCTCTCTCTCTCTCTCTCTCTCTCTCTCTCTCCCTCAAAATAAAAATGACACCAGCTCTATTAGATTACTGCCCCTCCCTTATGGCCTTAGTCAACCTAATCCCTGTCTCGAAAGGCAGCCACACCAGGAGTTATGACTTCAATAGACAAATTTATGAGGAGGGGACACAACCTAATCTGTAATGATGTAATTGTAGTTTTTGTTTGTTTGTTTGTTTCTCATTTTTTACTTTTGTCTTTTTGCTGTGCTGGAGATTGAATCACAAAGTTATTTTAATTAAAAACATTTTAGGTTAGCACATTATTGATGACAATATTAAACTCTTGTTTGAAGGTTAATTTAAAAATATTTTAAAGGTATTCATAACCTATAAAATACATCTTAACCTTTTCTCACTTGGTAAGTGATTCAACACCATTTTGTCAGAAAAGCATGAATTATCGTGAAATACTTTTTAAAAGACAGTTCATATTGAGTGTTAGTCCTGAAAATATGTTAAAATGTTTAATTATATGGTATAGTAATAAAGTAGACAAAACTCCTTTTATGACCCAATGTGTGGAATTCTTACATTTACAATGAAAATTAATTTTCATAATATTTATTTCTAAACAGTATGCTAAAAGCTTCAAGATCCCATTACAAATACATTAAATATTGCAACACAAATATTCTGCCCAATGTTACAGGCACCAAGTTGGTCATTATTTTCGCCATAGTTTTCTTTCTTTGTGTTTGTGTACATGTACTCAGGTGCACATGTATACATGTATGTGGAAGCCAGAGATCAATGTTGGGGACTTTCCTCAGTCATTTCCCCACCTTATTTTTGAGACAAGCTCTCTCACTGAACCTGGAGCTTGGCAATGCTGCTAGACTGGCCATCAAGGCCCAGGGAGCCTCCCATCTCTGACTCCCCAGCGCTGGGAGCACTAAAGAATGCCACTATGCCTGACTTTGTACGGGCTTACAGGGGAATCTGAATTTAGGGCCTCCTGCTTTTCTAAGAACTTTACTGAACTATCACCTTAGCCCCTACATTTTTTTTTTTTTTGACATCAGAAGGCACTCCATGAGAATTTAGATCTGAAATCTGCTTGACGATCTAGTGAAGCCCTTGGGGAAACTGGAAGGCTGAGTTCAGGTTTAAATTCTGTCCTAACTCTGTAGTTTGTCTTTTGTTTGTTTTGCTCTTTTGTTTCTGGGGATAGACTCTCCTGTAGTCTGTGCTGACTGGAGTTCACTCTGCAGCCGGTAGTATATTAGATCTACATGACAGGTGCTCACCTAGCAGCACTTCCCCAAATGTGTTACTACAAATACTGCAAATGTTTATAGAAGGAGGATATGAAGTTGGAAGACATGATAGAGGATCCTGGGCAGAATCGAAGGGGGAGATAAGGGTTGGGTATGATAAAGATTCATTGTATACAAGTATAAAGTTTTCAAAAAAAATAAAAATTATCAATACCATTTTTTAAAAGTTGAAGAACATTCATGACCGAAAATTTCAGCATGTCTCAAAAAATAGAAATACAAAGGAAAACTTGTTCCTGTTGCTATTAAAGTGCTAAAGTAAGGCCTGAGGAGATGCCTCAGTTGGAAGTGTTTGCCCTGTAAGCAGGAAGACCTGTGTTCCACTCTAACCTACACACCCCTCCCACCCCTGCTCCAGTTTTTTAAAAAGGTCCCGCATGGTGGCCCGTATATGTAATTCCGTGGCTGGGGAGGTGGAGACAGGTGAATAGTTCAGCCTAACTGGGGTGTCCCAGGTCCGGTACAGATCCTCCTCTGGTAGCTTTGCCTGCTCTGGAACTTTCTATATAGACCAGGGTGGCCTCGAACTCACAGATCTGCTCAGTTGGGGTTTAAAATCTTGAGCCACCACACCACGTGCTTAGTTTCTTTTTTATTGACTTATCAATACGTAAAATCATGACTTAAGTGATAATGCTGTCTTGCCAGTTCATCTATTTTGGCTTTGAACTCGTTATCTTTTGAGCTCCAATTTTAATGCAGTCTCTACTAGGTGCTAGCATGTGCCCAAAACACCGGATCAACCTCAGGGTTCCAAAGCCTAGTTCCGTTGCCATGGCGACCCGCGGAGGGCCTGCTCAGTGTGGCTGTCAAATCTTGCAGCAGCCTTGGGCACGAGCTGGAAGAGGGTCTGATTTCAGTTGCGCATGCGCTGGTCCGGGCAGTGTTCCTGGCACGCCCTCTCCCACGTCCCTGATCCGGCGTGTGGCTGACGTAGGAGACACACCCCCGGAAGCTGTTCCCGGGAGCGGAAATGGCAGGTGGCTTAGAGGCTTGAGGGCTGCGCGTGGAGTGGACCCGTGCGGCTCTGGTGGCCGTGAGCGGAGCCGGGTTCTCGGTGAGTGACCGCCCGGGACGGGTCGCTGAGGACCAGGCGCGGGGCTGCTCGAGTCGGGGTCTGGGAGCCCCCTGCACGAGAGCAAGTGAGAGAGCGGCTGTCCCGTGCCCGGCGTGAGCACCGGACACGCCCCAGTGTTTTTACTACCTAGCAAGAGTTGGCGGGAACACTGATAACAATGTCTGATGCTCTTTTAGAGCTAACGACTTTGGTGTTTGGCTCACGAATTCTACAAGCTTTACCTTTGTGGCTCTGGACAGGACGCTACTTGACTTGTTTATGGAGCGTGCAATGTAAGTGATACTGATCCACCGCACAGAATTATGACGCAAATCCCACTCCATGGAGTGTTTAATGAAAGGCACCGAGGCTCACATACTGGGAAATCTACATGTGCACTTTGGAAACGACATGCTTTTACTTAAATCATTTTTTTTTAAAGCTATGCGTTGAAGTGCTGGGGTGAAATTGAAATGCATTATTCTGTTCAGAGCTGTGTCTTTTGGGCTAAGTGTAATATTCATTTATCTAGTTAATACTTGTATGCTTCACTGTCCGCTAGCCACTGTTGGAGCCTCTTGCGGGTGGCGTGTAAGTAAGCAAAATAAAGATTCCTGTCCACGGAGCTTACATTCCAGTTTGAGGAAGACAAATCACAAACAAAAAATGTGAAATAAAGTGGTTATAAATTAGAACGCCATGGAGGAAAACAAGGTAAGGGATATTGGGAGATAAAGACGCAATTTAAAAAGAAGTGTGTTAGGATAGGCTTCACAGAGTAAATTGCCTTTGAGCAAAGGAGCTGCGGGAATTAGCTATATAGATACTTGGGGAAGTAAAGCCCAGACAGATTGCCCCTTAGTATTGGGCAAAGTGTTCCAAGGTGGAATGGGCCAGTGGACAGCAGGGACGGCGTGTGTGGCTGGACTGGAGCGAGGAAGGGGAAACAGTATGTAGAACTCCCTGACAGAAAGGCTGAAACAGTCAGGAACATTGGCGGATTGGATCCTTTTAGTTGTTTGCAAGTGAAGATAATTACCTACTTAATTTCAGTAAGATTTCACAGCTTAACCACAGCCACTAATTAGTATGTGAAGTTAATGGCTGAAAGTAGACTTTTTCCAAAATAGAATATCCTTGAGATCTAAATGGAGGCGCAGTTCCCAGTAAGCACAGCGTGAATCCAGGCAGATGAACCCAGTGTAATAAGTTTTTATTTGCTCTTAGGGTTTTTGTGCATGCAAAAATCACCCTATTTTTGGCTCCCGATTCTAAAGCGGTTCCCAACCTGTGGGTCACGACACACACATCTGATAATCCCCCATATCAGATATTTACATTATGACTCATAACAGTTGCAAAACTACAGTTATAGGGTCGCAATGGAATAATTTTATGGCTGGAGGTCCCCAGTATTAAAGGGTCTCAGCATTAGAAGAGTTGAGAACCACTGCAAGCTTTTCTAACTGTTAGGTGATGTGGGTGAATGTCTGTGACGATCAGTCTCCCCTCACCTGTGACCTGGGAATAGTGGCAGATGAGATGACTGAGAAGATGCCTGTTGTGCTAAGGATCTTACAGACTGACGGACAGAACGAACCCGGGATAAAACACGGCGTGAGAGGTTTGCTCAGAGGACAAGGCTGAGGAAACACCAATATCACAAAGCCACGTATGTGGTCATAGTTAATCTGTATTTCTCATTTTACACTTTTTTGAAATTCATTTTGCTTGGCATACCAAGAAATGAGCCTGACTCATAATTTTCATTCTTAAATGTTTTCTGTTTTGTGGGATGGTGATTTAGTTGTCTATTTTTTTAGGTCTAACAAATTTTGAGATTAAGAAAACCATTTGTTGAATACAAGTGAGCACCTGCTTGGTTCCCTGGCGAGGGACACGGGTACCGTGCAGCGCTGTTTGCTGGGATGTAAGCACTTGCCCAACGGTGTCATTAAGATAAAGGTGTGCATCTTTAGCCCTTTCCTCTCAACAAGATAGAAGTTCTGGTTTCCTGGGCAGTAGGATTTTTTTGTTAGTTTTCTTTATTTTTTTTTAATTTTCTTTATTATGTGTGAGTATGTGAAAACATGGGGATCAGACGACAGCTTGAGGGGGCTATCCGTATACCACATGGGTTTGCAGGATTGAACTCAGAGTCAGAGGCTTGATGGCAAGATTCTGTACCCGCTGAGCCTTCTCATCACCCTTGCCAGGCAGCATTGCAATCCAGAGTATAAATTAAATTCACTTATATTCTGCAGTTAAATTGAGGACAAATTATTTCTTTTAGTTTAAAATTTTGGCTTTGGCGTCTGTTAAGTGTTAAAGAAGAAATTGCCAGATTTTACGGTGTAGGCACGGGGATGTCTGACAAAGCCTGTGGAAGACAGGACAAGAGATAAGAGATAGACCAGGAAAATATTGGACAGTCTCAGCATCACCAAGGAGGCCAACCAGTACAATTTAGTTTGCAAACAGGATAATGAATGCACTGGTTAGCTTTACATGGCTGTGAGAAAACACTGGGATAAGCAGTTTACTAGGAAAATGGTTTATTTTGGCTTCAGTGTCAGAAGTTTCACTTGATGGTGAGTTGGCTCATTGCCTTTGTCCTCAGGGTGAGTCAGACGTAGGGGAGGGTGTGTGGAGAAAAAGGGCTGTTTAATTCATGGCGCCAGGAAGCAAAGAGGAAGCAAGGGGCCAGGGTCTCTTAGCTGCTCAATAACCTGACTGCCTTCCATTAGCTCTGCCTCTTAAAGTTTCTCCCACCACCAAGTAGCAACATGAGCTAGGAACCAACCCTTTCACACTAGGGCCTATGGGCAACGTCAGACTCTAACTAGGAAAGGTTATACTAGGATGGCTTACGTTGGTGACTGGTGACCACCAAGGTACCAGTCTCAGTGAAGTGGACAGGAGTGTGTAAAGCAGCCCTTGTAGGTGGGTAAGTTGATTGCAGCAGAGAGACCAGGCCGGACTCGGGTGGAGGAGACACCCTCCTGGAGGGAAGGTGCGCTGCGGAGGGAATTAAAAGTGCTAAGAGGCTGCCGTGTGTTAGAGCTTGATCTGAGGTCGTGTTCAGGGTGAAGCTGAAATGTACATATGTATAGAGTCTCGTGTGCCACTCATTGCTAAATATTCTGTGCTGTGTGCCACCTCTAAAAACCATGAAAGACCAGTTGGGTTTTGTTGTTGTTGTTGTTGTTTTGTTTTTTGTTTTTCGAGACAGGGTTTCTCTGTAGCTTTGGAGACTGTCCTAAAACTAGCTCTTGTAGCCCAGGCTGGCCTTGAACTCACAGAGATCTGGCTGCCTCTGCCTCAGTGCTGGGACTAGAGGCGTGCACCACCACCTCCCGGCAGAATGACTAGTTTGTTTGTTTGTTTGTTTTTTAAAAAAATTGAATCTCAGTATAAAAGCAAATTTTCCAGGGTGTTGGTTAAGCTGGAAGGAGAAGAGCTGGAATTTGAGCCCAGGGTTGTCGGTTGTCTAGGCCTCTCCCCGGTATTTCACATTGCTTTTTTTGTAACTGCTGCTGTCAGCCCTCACATTGTCTGGGCTTGTTGCATGTGATCAGATTCACTCTGATGTCATCTCATTCACTATGGAGTTGAGTCATGCATCGTTATGTTTTCTCTTCCCAGATTTTAACCTGGTTTGAAAATGAGTAAGCGCAGAAAGCTCCCAGCTCAGCCGTCAGCGTGTTCTGAGACCTTCAGCCCGGAAGTCCTCGATGACGTCTCTGAGCTCTTTGCCAAGAACTTTTCATACTGTAAGCCGCTTACTAATGAGTGGCAGCTCCCAGCGCCTGCGGAGGTTTTCTCCTGTGACCACACGGAGTTCCGTGCTTTCCTTGACTTGAAGAACTCCCTGAACGAAGTGAAAAACCTCCTGAGTGACAAGAAGCTGGGTGAGTGGCACGAACACACCGCTTTCACCAACAAGGCGGGGAAAATCATGTCTCACGTGAAGAAGGCTGTGAATGCCGAGCTTTGCACGCAAGCCTGGTGCAAATTCCAGGAGATTCTGTGCAGCTTCCCACTTATTCCTCAGGAAGCTTTTCAGGACGGAAAGCTGAATTCTCTGCACCTCTGTGAAGCTCCAGGAGCTTTCATTGCTAGTCTCAATCACTACTTAAAATCCCACCGGTTCCCCTGTGAATGGAGTTGGGTAGCCAATACTCTGAATCCATACCATGAAGCGAACGACGGTCTCAGGATGATAATGGACGACCGACTGATTGCAAATACCTTGCATTGTTGGTACTTTGGCCCAGATAATACAGGTGACATCATGAACCTGAACTATCTGGCTGGCCTTCAGGATTTCCTCAGCAGCATGCCCACTGTTCACTTGGTCACTGCTGATGGGAGTTTTGATTGCCAAGGAAACCCAGGTGAGCAGGAAGCCTTAGTCTCTTCTCTGCACTACTGTGAAGTTGTCACTGCCCTGACCACTCTCGGAAGCGGCGGCTCTTTTGTTCTAAAGATGTTTACGTTGTTTGAGCATTGTTCTGTAAACCTCATGTACCTGCTAAATTGTTCCTTTGACCAAGTCCATGTCTTCAAACCTGCTACTAGCAAGGCGGGAAACTCAGAAGTCTATGTGGTGTGTCTCTGCTATAGAGGCAGAGAGGCTGTCCACCCTTTGTTATCTAGGATGATGTTGAATTTTGGGACTGAGATGACCAGGAAGGCGCTCTTTCCCCATCATGTGATCCCCAAATCTTTCCTTGAGCGACATGAAGAGTGTTGTGCGTTCTTTCATAAATACCAGTTAGAGACGATTTCTGAGAACATTCGTCTTTTTGAGTGCATGGGGAAGGAGGAACAAGAGAAACTGAATAATATAAGGGATTGTGCTGTACAATATTTTATGCAAAAATTTCAACTGAAGCATCTTTCTAGAAATCACTGGCTTGTTAAAAAATCCAGTATTGGTTGTAGTACAAATACAAAATGGTTTGGACAGAGGAGCAAGTATTTTAAAACCTATAATGAACGGAAGATGCTGGAAACGCTTTCGTGGAAAGATAAAATCGCCAAAGGATACTTCAATAGCTGGATGGAGGAACACACCGTGTATCATCCTGGGCAGAATTCCTCCTTAGAAGGAACTGCTTCCAATCTCGAGTGCCACTTATGGCGTATTTTGGAAGGAAAGAAACTGCCGAAGGTGAAGTGTTCTCCTTTCTGCGACGGGGAGATTTTAAAGACTCTTAATGAAGCCGTTGAACAGTCCTTAGAGGAAGCTTCGAGTTTGGATTCCAAGTTGAGGCCCAAGCAGCGGTGTTACTGTTGTCACGTGTTTTCAGAGGAACTGCTGTTATCCGAGCTGTTCAGCCTCACCAAGTGCCTTCAGGGTGAGCAGACTGCGGAGCCCAGCAACCCGATCAAGTGCCTGCTTGTGGGTTCACCGGCTCTCTGTGATTCCACACTGCACCCGCCCCTGGAAGTCCATCTTCTGGAGTCCACCGAGCTCCTCACCTTCAGCTGTTCCTTGCTGCACGACGGCGACCCAGCGTACCAGCACTTGTTTCTGGAGTGCCTTCTGCACTCACTGAAGCAGCTTCATACAGGAGATGCCATGGTTTTGCCTGTGCTGTCTTGCTTAACCAGATTCATGGCCGGCTTGATCTTCGTTCTCCACAGCTGTTTTAGATTTGTCACGTTTTCTTGCCCCACGTCCTCTGAGCCCCTCAGGACCTGTGCAGTCCTGCTGTGCATTGGTTACCAGAGCCTTCCCCAGCCCGTTCTCCAGTATCTGCAGAACGTTAGCGAACTGCTGAGCGCTTTGCTCCTCTCTGGTGCACCCCAGCAGGTGTTACAGTTTGTGCCGATGGAGGTGCTCCTCCAGGGCACACTGCTGGACTTTTTGTGGGATTTGAATGCTGCCATTGCTAAAAGGCATTTGCATTTGATTATTCAAGAAGAGAGAGACAAAGTCAGCCGCAGCCTTGAGTCACAGAATTGAACATGTCACTGTTGAGATTCAGTTTTGCGACCTACAGCTTCTGCTCTCATTCACCTGCCCTCTCTATTTATTCAATGCCTGAATGCCAATTTTTGTATCAAAGGACATTAATGATGGGAAGTTATAGCTTGTTCTGATCTGAAGGATATGTGTACTCATAGGCAGAGTTCTTATGGTGGGAACCATGCACTGATGGTACTCAGCCTCTAATCCTGTGTCATCAGTATGTGCTTGGGGTGACAACACGCCTCTGCGTATGCAGTTGAGTTGGTTTCCTCTGCCTGCTGAAGATTTGCACTGTGTGCCTTCTTTCAGACTTTTTCCCCAGCCGATGCCTCTCATTGGCTAATGCTGTTAATGATTGTTAGAGAAGTCGTTCATGAAAGGAGGTGAGTGGCATCACCTCCTCGGCGTCACTGTTTACTTCAGAGCACTTGACCAACGTGTCATAGTGGGTTCGGGGATCTTTATACCAGGTTTCTTGATGATTGCCATGCATTGCCTTTAGATCAGTGGCTTGATTTTCTTTTGATTGGAGTGAGACTAGTGTGCTCTTGGGGTCCTGTTTCCCTAGATAACTGTCTAAGCAATAAGAGGACAGCTGGAAACCGGAGCCCAAGGTCATGGTACAGTGGGAATTATGTCTGGTAATTTATCATGACTGGCTTCTTTCCGCAGTCTTGGCATTTTTAATGTCCAGTAAACAGTGAATGGAGCGATGGTTGAGTTTTAGGGCTTCGTGTGTAGTTGTCCCCCCGTGGGCTGTGTCGGAGTGTGTTGATCGCAATGAATACTGAGGGAAGTGCGGAACTTTCAGAATGATGGCAGCACAGTTTTAATCTTTACTAAAATTTATAGTGTGAAAATGGCACTTTAATGAGATTATCCATAAAATGGTTATTATATCAATTACACTTGATTTTCTGAGTTATATATTTTTAGTAATATAATGAACTTTTCTGGCAACCTGTTACTTTGAAATTCTGTTAGGTAGATAATTTATATCTTGCGTAAATTTTTAGGTATTTTTATTACTTAAAAATAGAAATATTCTGTGATATATTTGGGTAATAAATAAATTTTTTCATGCTCTTTGCTGTTTTTGAGTTCCATTATAATTCACAAATAAAGTCTTAAGCAGACATATTTTGTGTTCATTTTATTAAAAGATAAAGAGGGAAGTTAAACCGGACGGTGGTGGCGCACGCATTTAATCCCAGCACTCGGGAGGCAGAGGCAGGTGGATCTCTGTGAGTTCAAGGCCAGCCTGGTCTACAAAAGCTAGTTCCAGGACAGGCTTCAAAGCTACAGAGAAACCTTGTCTCAAAAAAAACAAAAACAAAAAACAAAACAAAGAGGGGAAATTAAAATTACAAGCTGAAAACTTTTAAAGGAAGTTTGACCGGGAGTTAATGTTTCATTTCCTTTCATTTGCATTCATGAAAATTTATTCCTTCAATATTATATTAATGGGAAATCCTCAGGGGAGTATTTAATTGTTCACGTAGGGGCTGGGGGAGAAGAGAGCATGGCCCGGCAGGCAGTGAAAGTGTAAGATTGTTTCTGAAGGAGCCTCATTTCCTGCTAGTGATTTACTTGATGAGGGTGGTTCTGCTTAGTTGCAGTCTATTAGCAAATTGGTTACCAGGAAAGAAACTACTCTTGGGAACGGTCTTGCTGCCTTGTTAGTGATAACGGGATTTATTTTTAGTTATTTACACTATTTAATTAGGATATAGTTGGCAGTATGAGTACTAATAGTAAAACTTGCTTTTTATTTTAAGTGTGTGTGTGTGTGTGTGTGTGTGTGTGTGTATGTTTGGGTGCTAGTGTTAGTATGTGTGTGTTTGGACAGGTGCCCATGAGGGCCAGGATGCCAGAAGAGTGTGTGGTCTGGAGCCGGAATTACAGGTGGTTGGGAGCCACCTGATGGTTGTGGGTGCTGGGAACCGAACTCCTCTGCAAGAACAGCAAGTGATCTTAACGTCTGAGTCCCTAAAACTGGCTTTTTAAGACCCTCAAAGATTGAATATTTAAAAATAGTAATCAGTGTTGAGATACAGAACAGTTGAATGTGTTAAAATAGTCTAATTTTTAGCGTGGTGTGGAGGGGGGCATTGAAGGAGAATGTCTCCCATAGGCTCCGGAATACTGCATTCCCAGATAGTGGTCCTGTTTGGGGCGCTTCAGGACATGTGACCTTGCTAGAGAAAGGTTGCCACTGGGGTGGGCTTTTAGGTCTCAGTGGGCAGTTCCCAATTTGTTCTCTGCTTCCTACTGGCTGTAGATGTAAGCTCCCAACTTGAGGGTACAGCTACCCTGCCTGCCTGCTGCCCCACTTCCCTGCTGTGATGGTGACGGACTCTTACCCTTCTAGAACTGTAAGCTCAGATAAACTCCCTGACATCCGTCTTTAAACTTGGGGAGTCGGGTGGGCGAGAAAGACCGAGGAAACAGCTTTATTAATGAAGTGCTCGTTTTGCCAGCATGACCAGGTTTGATTCCCAGAACCCATATTCAGAGATGATTGTGTGCCATGTGTTTTTAATCTTAGCACTGGAGAGGTAGCATCTGGTGGGTCTCTGGGGCTTGCTAGCCAGTCATTCTAGCCTACTGGGTGAGCTCCCAGGTCAGTGAGATACCCTGTTTCAACAAGAGTAAGACAGACAGCTTAGAAGGAATGACGTTTGAAATGCCTATCCGGCATAATCACCAGGGTGCACACACTGATGTTTGAAGAAATTCATAGTTAATTTTTCCTATATAGTTAACGTAAAGCCTCAATTGTTTGATAATGGACTTCCCTTGCCAATTTCTTTCAACTGATTTTGATTTTAAAACTAATTATATAAAACAGTTTCACTACTGAGGTAAGGAAAGTCAGCCTTAGCTTAGGCTTGTCCCTAACTAGTTCTTATAACTTAAATTAACCCACATTTTTAAATCTGTTCTTTTACACGACTCAGTTATCTTTACTCTGTAGACTTGTTTCCTCTGTGTCTAGCTGGCAACCCCTCCTTTCTTCTTCCCAGAGCTTGCTCTGTCCGCACAAGTCCTATGCAGCCTCTTCCTGCCCAGCTAATGGCCATTCAGCTCTTTGTTAAACCGGCCACAGTGACACATCTCCACACAGAGTAAAGGAATAGTCCACAACGCCAGAGTCCCTGTGATTCCAGCACTGGGAGGAAGAGACACGAAGATCCCTGGCTGGCAGGCTAGCCAGTCAAACCTCATTGGGGAGAACCAGATCAATGAGAGACCCTGTCTCGGTGTTCCTGAGAGTGATACCCAACATTGTCTTCTGCCCTCTTCACCCCGCCCCCGCCACAACATGAATACTCATGTATTCATAATAATACCCTCACAGGGCCTGGAGAGGTGGCTCAGAGTGTCTGTTGCTCTTGCAGGTGACCCAGGTTCAGTTCTCAGCAACCACATGGCCTCTCACAACTATCTGTAATTCCAGTTGCAGGAGATTTGACCTATATGGGCACTGGGCATGCGTATGGTGCTTATACATACACATGGGCAACACACCCGTACACATAAAATTAAAAATGGCCTTATATATCTAGTTGTAACGAGAGGAGTCTGTTTTGTTTTTTGCTGAGGATGCTGCAATCCAGGACCTTGTTCTCTTTTTCTTCCCTCCATCCTTCCCTTTCTCTCTCTCTCTCTCTCTCTCTCTCTCTCTCTCTCTCTCTCCCTTTTTCTCTCTCTCTCCCTCTCTCTCTCCCTCCCTCCCTCCCTCCCTCCCTCCAGGATTTTCATTGAAGTTTTGATCTTCCTGCCTCAGTGTCCCTAGTAGATGGGATTACAGGCTTGTCCCAGCAGACCAAGAGTAATTCTAATTAACTTTTTAAAGTCATTAGATAGTCTTTGCTCTATCAAACGTTGACAGCTGGTAGCTCCTTCGGTGTTTGTTGAAATGACTCTTTGGTAGTTCAGTATGTTTTTCATTCTGCTGCTTTGAAATCTATTTGTCTATCTTACACTTGGATGGATCATTCACCCATGTGATTTTATTTTGGAACTGAACTTATCATTTTGAAAATACTGGTTTTGAGTGGTGCAGAGCTTGTAAATGTTGACATATTTAATTTCACAGGATCAAAATTTCCATTTTCAAACAGCACCACTGATCTCATCAGAAAAATCTAAGTAGTGCTTGAGGATAGCAAACATTAATTTTCTAAGAGTCTCATTTTCACTTGAATGCTCAGATTGTTGCCATGGCAACCAGTGCTGCCACTTTCTTTGAAATGACAGCTTACTTTATCCATTTTTGAGGAAATGTCTGCCAGCACTTCCTGAGGAGAGAGAGTATGTCTCCTCTGAAAATGCATAACTGGGGCGGAGGAGATGCTCAGTCGTAAAGGACTTGCTGTGTGAACTGAGGGCTGGAGCTCGAAACCTAGCACATCAGGAATGCTAAAGACATGCCCTCTAAAGTCAGGACTTAATGAAGGTGGTGCCAGGGGTGTAGCTCAGGACTTCATAATTGTGAAAAAAAAAATCGTCAGGGACATTTTTGAGTAAAAATGCCCACACTCATGAGCGTATGCTGAGACACCAGCTGTTCTGCCTACTCCCGCTTCTGCGGCAAACATTTATCCCTTGACTTGTGAGAGATGAAAAGACACCTAATGGCTTGGTGCTACCATGAAGATGTACAGACTTTGAAGGAGTCCATGGTCTTCCTGAGGACTGCCGCTCTGGTTTTCCCCACTGTACCAGCTTCTGGAAAACTCCCCCTTACCCCACTTCCTTTTCCTTTCCTCCTCTTCCCTGTGATTTGAAATGGCTTAGTGTTTCCATCATCTGCTCTTCGAAGGTTTGGTGAGAATGGTGTGAAAACAGCTCGGTGTGCTGTGCTCTGCAGGAAGTGCTCCTTCACCCCCAGACCGCTCCAGAGGCTTCATCTGTCCAGTGTTTGACTTCTCGATGTCAGTGTTGGCAGATAGTCCTAGATTGTTTATTGGATGTAGATTTTCAATTTTTCCTGTTCATAGAATTATGTGATACCATCTCATGGTTTGAGTTACCATCTCATGATTTAAGATATCTTCTCATGTATTTTTGTATTTTAAGTGTGTTTCCTTTGTCATATAGCTGTGGTGTTTCCCGTCTTTAAAAAATGAACTGTTTTGCTGGGTGGTGCATGCCTTTAATCCCAGCACTTGGGAGGCAGAGGCAGGCAGGTCATGGTGAGTTCGAGGGCAGCCTGGTCTATCAAGCAAATTTCAGGACAGCCAAGGTTGTTACACAGAGAAACCCTGTCTCAAAAAAAAAATAAAAAAATAAAATTAAAAAAAGAACTGTTTTGACTATGGAGATCAATTTTCAGTGACTTTTATTTTATTAATTCCTATTACTTTCTAAAGGTAGAATGCTCTTTTATTTCTGGGTGCCCAGACCCAAATAATCACACAAAAGTATATTATTTGTAATGCTATTTGACCAATGGTTTAGGTGTATGCCTAGCTAGCTCTTATGTCTTAAATTAACACATTTCTATTAATCTGTGAATCTCCACGAGACTAGCCTACCAGTAAGGTTCCAGCATCTTTCTGCTTCAGCAGCTACATGGTGTCTCCCTGACTCTGCCTTCTTTCTCCCTGGATTCAGTTTAGCTTTCTCGCCTAGCTCTATTCTACCCTGCCATAGGCTAAAGGAACTTCATTATTAATCAATGGTAATAAAACATTTACAGCATACAGAGAGTAATCCTACATCATCTCCCCTTTTCTGTCTAAAGAAGGAAGATTTTAACTTTAACATAGTAAAATTACATATCACAAAATAGATGCCAAAGAAGAATTACAATGTTCATTCTATATCTGGAAAAATTAAAGAAAATGTTTTATCTATTTTATCTTCGTGAGTCTAAAGTTTTATATCTAGTTTATCTTTTATTATAACTATGGAAACTATAACTATCTGCCTTCTACTCCAAAGACCCCAAAAAGATATAC